GGCAACTAGATGCGGCATACCTGCCGGAGACACAGGGTGCACAGCAGCAGCTTTTCAGAGAGTTCCAGCAGTACCAGACTCCTCGGAAGGAGAACCCCGTCGCCAGTTTGAACAAGCTCATGGGTATGGCCAACATGATGCGGCAAGGGGGCGGAGCCACGGTAAACGACCAGTTCGTGTTCGCCCGACTTATCGATTCGCTGCCCAACCCCGAATACGAAGTCACCAAGCAAACCTTGTCGGTGGTCCAACCGCTGACGAGGGCCTTGTACAACAGCTCTCAACGCGATTTAACCTTCTCACCGAGGAATGGAGGAAGGAAGGAGGAAAAGGATCCAGGGGGGAGCAGGCGTACATTGCGGGTGACGGCACCGGGAAGGGGCGGCAGGCTGGCGGCGGCTGCGGCAGGAAGAGCAACGGCCGTGGCAGCAAGAAGAAGGCGGGGACGGACGAGCGGGTCGACCACCGGAGGTGTTTCCGATGCAACCACCGCGGGCATAGGAAGCCCGACTGCACCACGAAGGAGGAGGACTTCCTGGAGCAGTGCGACACGTGTTTGGGCTTTGGGCACAACAGCGAGAAGTGTGCGACACCCACGGAGGAAGCGTGCATGGCGGTAGTGGAGCATGCCGCGGTGGTGAGTTTCGAAGAGCAGTACGACCGCGCGGAGGAACTGTGCAAGATGGATCCTAGTTGGGAGAAGCTGACCGAAGACGAGAAGGAAGCAAAGGTGCAGGAAGTGATAACTGAAAGTTTCTAGGGTGGACAGGTGGTGTTGCTAATACGGTACGGCAGGTTGGCCGTAGGCCCTCAGCGCCGCTGATTTGCGGTGGGGGGGGCGGACGAAGTCGTGCGGAGGTGGCGCGCATGCACAGCATGGACAGATGGGCCATAAAAGTCGCACAATTGACGGTGCGCACTCCATCTGCGGGATAGGAGGCGGTGGAAAGCAGGGACGGTAGAGTGACCGTTGGGCAGAATAGCCGGAGACACCCTACCATGGATTGACCGCGCGACGTGTGGGGGGTGGGCGCCGCACTCGCTTGACGCGGGCGGCGTTTTTCTCGAAGTTGATCACAGGCACGGCAGAGTGGCCGTGCACGCCCTACCACGGTTGACACGCGCGACGGCGCGTCGGGGGGTGGGTGCCGCATCACGCGTGAAGCGGGCGGCATTTTTCAACCACAGCACGGACGGAGGGGCCGTGGCTGTCCTGCCTTGCCGTTTGGAGCCGGGGGGGTAGCACTTGAAGTCGCGCGGAGATGACGCGCAACCCAGCACGGACGGACGGGCCGTGGCTGTTCTGCCTCGTCGTTGGAGCGGGGGGGGGCAGCATGTTTTGTCGCGCGGAGGTGGCGCGCAACCATCAGCCGGAGGTGGGCATTTGGGGTGGGGCACAGCGATATGGCGGTGTCA